TCCTCTCATATATGTTCTCTATGAAAACCACGACTAAAAGAAGCTTAAATACACCTGTTGACCAAGACAAGAAACTCTGGGTCCTTTATAAGCAGTTAAAAAGCAGTTTCCACGTTGGCACATCGCCCGTGGAAAGTTCCCTTTCATCTCAGCTGGGAAAGTGATTGTCACAGTTCTCTCTGTCCAAAAAACACGCCAAGAAAATGTGCATTTTCATCATAAACCAGTAAATTAGGACTCGAGTTCACCCCGCCCTGCTCAGTCCAAGTGGGTTGTCCTGGGGTTTATTTGTAAATATTTGTAAATGCCAGGGGGCACGTGAAGCATCTTCATTAGAATATCCAAGGATTTAACGATGTGCACTCGCGTTTTCTGTAATTAAGAACTACCAGAGATTTCTCCTTGAAGATCCTGACAGCTCTGATGGCCCAAAGAGGTGTGTGGTGGGGGTGCAGGGTCAGGACAGGGTGACCATCACGGCTGACACCAGCACTGCCACGCTGACTGTCCTCCTGCTGCCACCCGACGTCCTCCGGGCGGGCAGGACGGCGAACACGGCGTTGGTGTCGTTGGTTGGGATCTCCACGTTGCAGATCATGCCCTCACAGCAGGAAACACATTCCTGGGGAGGGGAAAAAAGATCGTCACTGGACACAGGGGAGCTCAGCAGGGGCTTGGGGAGGGGAAGCAGAGGGGCAGGTACTGATCTCTTTATTCTTGTGATCCATGACAGACCCAAGGGAATGGCTGGAACTGTGTCAGGGAGGTTTAGGTGGATCTCGGGAAAAGGTTCTTCCCCCAGAGGGTGGTTGGGCACTGACCAGGCTCCCCAGGGCAGTGGGCACAGCCCCAAGGCTGCCAGAGCTCCAGGAGGGTNGTTGGACTGGATGATCCTGTTGGATCCTGGATGATCCCTTCCAACTCAGAATATCCTGTGACTCTATGAATGTTCCTTCAATTGGTTGCCAAGTTGAGCTGAACAGACCCATCACCTCCACTTGGCAGCCTGACTCAGAGCAGCAGAAGGACCATTTATGCTACAAATCATCCCCAAATTAAACACACACCCCAATCAAATCTCTTCCAAATCTTGGGCACAGCCTTCCTGGAGCAACTGATCCCCTGGTGGTGTCACCAGGCTGGGATGGGAGGTCACACACTGACAAGTGCACCAACACTGTAGAAAATAGAGTCCTATTTTAGCTCCCCTTCTAACACATGAGCTAAAAACCTGCATTTGAACATTTCAGGTGTCAGCTTTTTAAACTAAAAAATTCTGGCTGTAAAAAACTGTTGTTCTCATTCATTTTTACCCTCAGCTTTTATATTCAGTGTTGCTTTGGGTGCTGAATTCATACTTTGTTTCTCAGTTTCTGGTGCCACAGAACCACTGACACAGCTGACTTCCAAAACGGAGTCTGAAAACAATTTTCCTTACTTGACCCTCCTTACTAGAAAAGCCAAGAAAATAAATGAATAAAATGCCAATTTTTATCTAATCCAAAGGCAAAGAACTGTTCTAAGATAAAGTAACTGCCCGTGACAGGGGCTTGGAACAAGATGATCTTTAAGGTCCCTTCCAACCCAAA